CAGCCTGGACATGCCACCCAGTTTGTAAACAAGATCTTGTTGGATGACAGTCTTGTCAAAGAAATTAACAGCGGACAGAAAGATCCAAGAGACATCTCCATTCCAGTGAGTATATTACGTTTTCATGTGGATGTCTGTAAACTGTGTGTTGTAAATCGCCTTGAATTCAGAATGTGGAGCCAAAATCTGTATCCCTGTATTTAAGTATTAATCCCTTCAATAGGCGATGCTTTCAGTTGCTTTAAACAATTTTTGTTTTTTCCTAATATAAGGATGGAAAAGACGTAATATCTGGCTTACCAGGTATTTCGTTCGTAGCGAAATGCGATGATTCGGCTAGGAAGTATTTGATAATCTACATTAATAACAATTTGCTTTTCAAAACTTTATTTACACGTCTAGGAAAGTAGTAATTTCCAGTCATATGATTGGAAACTTGGTCTTTTATCACGTGAATCAAACAAAATTCATAAAGTGACTTTTTTTAAACATTGAGCTGTAGACGCGTGGGTCTTATAGCATGGCATTTCTTTTTGTTTGTATGTTCCTGACACCTTGTGATTAAGTAACATTTGTCATCATCCACTCGGAGTTCTTATGTGAAGGCCTTTTTCAGAAGTATCTTGCCAAAAAATTTCCTTTTGCACCTGTGTCCTCTCATTCCTTTCTTCATGTGTTTCTACTTTCATGTCCTGCCGGACATGTGCAAGAATAATGAAATTGTGGCATCATTAAGTTCAGTGTATTTGTTACCTCAGAATAATGCACGAACGACTGTCACAAAAACCTGCATTTTTTATAGGGGGTGGATTTAACGGCAATATCTGAAGTTACGGAGCAGGACAGTATTGAAATATTGAAAGTTCAACAGCTGTACTGCAGAAACGTGCTGAATGTACCTGCAGGTGGCAGGGCCATTGTGACAAATGGGAGGATAGTGGGACCCCTGGAGGAGACAGAGAAATTCATTCTGGATGACTTCTCTCTCCTGGAGAGATACAGCATGAGCAGTTACGGGGACAAGATCCTGCAGACACTCAAAAGGAAGACAGTAGATGATGATGATGATGATGATGGTAACAATGATCTCTTTTGTTTATTTTGTGAAATTCTCTCTGTTTCCGGAAAGATAAATGATTTTATGCGAACTGTGTTCAATTTTTTTAACTTACCTAAGAATGGTTCATTGCATAAATTGTGTCATTAACACATATGACTTTTGTTTGAAACATTCTGTTTGTCCTTGACAGCTTGCACATAAAGGTCTTTTGAGGTCTTCAAAGTATGTGCCAGTCTAACCCAATAGCTTTCAGTTTTTAAGGAGTTTCTCTCAAATTCTGACCAAATCAGAATTTGAAAGGTGCAGCAGTTACTGTGCACACGTGAGACATTCTAAATATTTTGAGTGACTGATTTTCCAATTCAAAGGAGTGACATACGTTTATTAACTCCGAATTTAAGGAACCGTCTCCACAGCCATGTGTAAAACCGTTTTCAGATTTTGATGATGTGCCAAGGAACAGTGATGTGTTGATGCAAGCTGTAGCTCTTCTGGTCTCAAGGCCTCAGTCACGTAGCCGGTTTGATATTCCAGTTCACACTGATATTCACAGGTATTGTACAGAATTTATCGTTGTATCACGTTCGAGAGTACAAGTTGTATATCAGACTTACTTTGGAAATGCTGATACAAAATTCCATTGACCAATACGAAACTGGAATGAAGCTGGAGGAAGTAGAAACAAAATTATGGGGCATTTTGTAATTAATTGGCAGCCCTTATGAGGGATAAAGGGGGTGGCAGAAATTTTTTTCTGTGTCACGTATACAGTTAGGATGTTTTTTTAGTTGCTGGGTTGTGAGTGAGGTGTGGCCTTTCTCGTATGTGGGATTATTACATTAGTTGTTACATTTTCTATTCATGGCAGCATAGCTGCAACTGTATGCATGTACAAGTATGGTAAATATATATCACATTTGTGTTTCCGCGGGTGAAACACTCGGCCAGACTAAAAAATAAGATATTTCAATTAGGGAGACACCTGCGGCTGGTTAGATCCGTTAATAATTTTAATCGTTTCCGTAGTTAGTAGCAACAGTACTTGACTCGATCTTTATCGGCCAACATTCACGTGTTTCAGCGTCATAAGACTTCCGCCTCACAATGCGTCCGAGCCGGCGTTTAATATAGCCGCCATTGTGGATCCTGTGTCAAGGGGGTCTCAGAAGGTTGGGCCAATCTTGTCAGTTTTGCAGGAGGTTCTGAACTGCCACATTAAGGTGTACCTCAACTGTGTGGAGAAGAACAGTGACATGCCACTTAAGAGGTAAGCGCAGGAACTAGGTCTGACAGTTGAATAACCACTCTGATTCTTTCCACTAACTTTTAGTGATTGTGGCCACCTTAAAAGTATTTGGCATCTGACTTTTTGCGTGTTATACTTCTCACGGTAAGATTAAAGCTGTGTATGTATCAGTTTTTTTGGCAAGGTAGTGTTAGTCCTCTTTTGCCTGCCATTTCAGTTTCTATCGCTTTGTACTGGAACCAGAGATACATTTCACGTCAGATGGGAGACAAACGAGCGGCCCAATGGCCAGGTTCGCCAACATGCCGACATCTCCACTGTTGACACAAAACATGCAGGTGCCTGAAAACTGGCTGGTGGAGTCAGTTCGCAGCCCGTATGACCTAGACAATATTCGTCTGGAGGACGTGGATTCTGTCGTGCACAGGTAAGCTGGGAGCTTCCGTCAGGGTCTTATAAAGTTGTTTCTATATTGGTCACAGAAATCTGCCTCTGTGCTCCACGGAGTTCGTTATTGATCACTGTAATCGTATGCCAATCTGCAGCATGGTGAACGCGCTCAGTCGTCGGGTTCAAATCGTACTCACGGCGTGGATGTGAACTCATATGAAGGTAGAACATGCATGATTTGTTAGAGGGGGCTGTAGCTTGAATTGGTCTGTTAGGTTATGGTCGGAAGTCGTTGCAGGGGTTTGCTTCGTGGTTGTAATAAAGCGTCTCCAGAATTGTAGGTTATTGGAGGCGCTGTATTAACTTGAGAAATTAGCTGGTGTTGAATGAGACGTAAATTGTGATTTTGTGTGGGTGGAGGAAGGAAGTGGTCTTGGCCTATTTTGAAGTACAGTCACCGCATCTGCTTGGATTGACGGGAGAAAACTGTAAACCTGAGACAGCTGATTGAACTGGCTACCAGGTAACAGGTGGGGTTAGTATTTGTTGCCACTTGTTACAGTGAGTTTGAGTTGGAGTACTTGCTGCTCGAAGGCCACTGTTTTGAGACCACCATGGGCAACCCGCCACGGGGTCTTCAGATCACACTTGGAACAGAGACTCAGCCAGTTGTTGTGGACACCATTGTCATGGCGAACCTCGGCTACTTTCAGCTGAAGGCCAATCCTGGTGCTTGGATACTGCGCCTCAGACAGGGTCGCTCTGCAGACATCTTTGAAATTGTCAGGTTGCTATGACACTACTTTTTACGGAAGGGATTTTTCTTTGGACGAGAGTCTTTCCTGGATAATCGATAATTATTCATAATCTGTTTAAGCAGTTCTTTGCTGTGTGGAACCCAGGGGTTCATCATTCTCAAAGCATCTCTTTAAACTTTATCTGAAGCCTTCAGTCCAGTATTTAAACCCCCACTGGTCACAGTGCGGCTGTATGTGGTTTTATTTGTTTATTTGTTTTAGAAACTGCTTAACAAAATACTGTATTTTTGTGTACAGCTGTTAATGGTTTATATTAAATTTTGTTGTATTCAGTCATGAAGGGTCAGACACTCCAGCCAACTCAACAGACATCAAAGTGCTAATCAGCTCGTTCCGCAGCCACGTTCTAAAACTGAAGGTCGCCAAGAAGCCGGACAAGATGCACGTGGACCTTCTTTCAGATGATACTGATCCCAGTTCTGGCATTTGGAGCTCCATCACCAGGTATTATATGCAAACATTGCCCTCTGCTTTTCCCATTTGTCTTGTTTTAATTATCAGAGTCTGTTAATTTACAAAAGTATGTCTAATGTACTTGAATAAGGACACTGTTTATATTGTTCCGTTAAGTGATAGAAAAGTGAATACATTTGTACGCAGACTGCAAACGGATGAAATTTTATCTTGACGTAATGATTAAAGTATATGATACATAAGCTTGTGCGTGGAAGTAAATACGTTAAGCAGTGTAATACGTGAAAAATACTGATTTCAATTCTGATTAATTCACTTACGTATTTAGGCATCAGGATGATGTTTTTAATTGCAGTACATTTGGTGGGTCGAAAACAGCAGAAGAGGATGGAGACGGTAGGATAAACATCTTTTCGCTTGCATCTGGGCATTTATACGAGCGTTTCTTGCGCATTATGATGCTGAGCGTACTGAAACATACGAGCACGCCTGTCAAATTCTGGTTTCTCAAGAACTACTTGTCTCCTACGCTGAAGGTTAGTGACGATGAAGTAGAACTCGGAAGCGTCCGGCTC